AAAAATTTTCAAGTAATATTTGAGGAAAAAGTTGGTAATTAATGTTTGTCTATACAATTTAATTTTATTTGGCAAATATTTCAAAATCTCAAATATTAGTTTTTTTTAATGATTGAGCCAATTTTCATTATTTGAAATCTTTTAAAAATTATTTTTTTACACCAAACTTTTATCTTTTATAAAAGCACCTTTCAAAGTAATTGTTTGCGTTGTATTACATAATTTTTAGGTGAACACCAAAGTAGTGATGACATATGAAAGTGAGAATATGGTCGTTGATAAAAATAATGAACAATCGGCTCAGAGTAACAAAGTTATGTGATTTGTCTACTTCACGATGTATGGAATGACGCTTGTTGCATTCACTCTAAGCTACCACATTGATCCAATGTCATGGACACCACTTGCTATTTGTGCAATGAAAATCCAATTGACTTGTAATACAATTTTATGGTTAGTTTTGATAGTTTTTGAAATTTATGAGTATAAATCATATTTTTTCTTAAAAAAAATTGAATATGTATTCCAAATACTATGGCCAAACAAATGGTTAAATTTCATCCAAATTTTCATATAAATAATATTTATAAAAAGTATTTAAAAATTTATGATCAAACGCTATCATACTATTACATTTTTATGTGATTTACCCGAAGCAAAATGGGCTTGAAATTATGTGGAACTTAAAGCTCGTTTGTTGGGCTAAAACCAACAATCTTTGCCCTAAATGTGATGATTATCTTCTTTTTTTTTTTTTTCTTATTCGAAGAGAGGTGTGTTTTTCAGTTCTTGAAAAAAACATGACAAGGGAAATATTCAATAAAAAAAAGTGATTATACCTTAAAAATATAAATAAAGGTAAATAAAACTTAAATACTTTTCGTGATTACTTGCTTTGCTTTCATTTGTTTATCTTGTTTTTTTTTTTTTTTTCATTTTGTCTCAAAAAGACTATAACAATTTTTAACTTCAATTTTTCCTCCATAATATATGTTTAAGCCACAAAATTAAATAACATCTTAATATATTTAGTTTACTATAAGAAGATTCAGTTATTATTTTTATTTTCTTAAACTATGAGGGAAAAAAATATTTTTTCAAGTGGTGGTTGAATGAAAAAGAGAAATAAATGTGAAACAGGTTTGGAATTTAATGACAGGTGGGTCAATTATTTTGCTTCTATGTCAGGCAGGACTCAGAAGCAAAAAAGAAGTCCACAATATTTATTTCCTCAGCTACTACTAGCAGCAGTATAAACTCCAACTTTATACCTTCAGGTACAATATATACTAGGTAGATTCATGCACAAATTTCACATTGTATTAAAAATACATACCTACTCACATATTTATTTTCTATAAAAAAAATAAATGCTAGCAAAAAGGCAGTTGACAAGCAAACTCCTATATAAGTAGTAGTATTATTATTTCGCATACATCCATTTTTCATTCAAAATGTCTATTTCCCAATCAATCCTTGAATTGATCATTTTCTTCCACATGTTGGAGGGTTACCAGTACTGAATCAGTTGCAGAAAAAATTGGGATTTAGTGATAATTTCATTGAGAAGATTTGGGAATACCTTCTAGTAGCTCGATTTGGTACATATCGGCTTATGCAAAGGCTAAGGGAAGAATAAAAAAGGGTGATAAAATTTGGTAAATGGCTTTTGGATCGGGTTATAAATGCAGCAGCGTGATTTGACATCGATATGAATAACATGAAAAATCCATGTAAAGAAGAGAGTGATGCTCTAATTGATCTCCATTTGGACATTAATACACCAATTCATGATCAACTTATTGTATCTATTTCAGTTAAGCTTTTTATCATGCACTGTCCTTCCGTAATAAAATTCCGTCATCATTAATCCTAAATTGTTTTGATTTTACTTTTTTATTTACCATGTCTGTTTGATTTTTGTCAACTAATAAGAAAATAGTAAGCCACATTCTTTCTTATAATATAATTTATGATTGACAATCTAACAGAGTATTAAGATTGAAAACAAACAATGAAAATGTAACATAATTCAAAAGGAGTATAATTTATGTCGAGTTTAACATTTGCATAATTAATTTTTAAAAATAAAAAACAATGAAAAGCGTGGTTGTATTTGAGGGTAAACTGGTAATTTATCGAAAATTCGAAATTGAAAAGAAAGTCGAAAATTTCATAATTCCCACCAAAAACAAACCGCCAAAAAGAGTTGGGCAATAAATTATACAGTTTTACAGATCTACGCACAAATCTACTTTATTGCGTCTCTGGGAAAATTTAGCAGAAAATCAGGTGACGCTAATGGCCGATCTATGAATTTAAGTCATTCTGTATAGTCAGTCATAACTAGTTTTCTTTCGATTATGCGGAATGTGTAATCAGTATTTGGAAAGTTACTCAGGATATAGTTTGAGATTTTTGTAACCATGATGTTTAGAAGTTGAAAATTCATTTTTCATTGAAGACTAAATTGAGGATCTGGCTTTTTCTGTGTTGGTGTAGTTTTCAAATAAGGAAAATGGCAGGAAAAGGAGGGAAAGGGCTAGTAGCGGGGAAGACAACAGCTGCAGCGGCTGCCAACAAGGAGAAAGACAAGAAAAAACCAATTTCTCGTTCATCTCGTGCGGGTTTGCAGGTAATACATAGTTTTGGTCAGATCTTGTTTGATTTTCATTAAAAATCTCAAGTGACAGTTTAAAGTAATTGATCTACCCAAAGTATGATGACACCATAGCATAGTCAATGTAGTCCCACAGTGAGGTGAAGCTAGGACAAAGTAATTTATCTAATAGACCATTGCCAAAACACCAAGCAAATTAAACTAGCACAAATTTGAGATTAACAAACTATACCGTTACTAACTACTATTTCTACCATTAGAAAGAGAGGAGATGAAGCTAACCCACATATAGTGGAACTACTAACCGTTTACTCTAATTCTTGTTCTATGTACCTTTCTATCTTGGTTTATATCTTTACTATATGCGGGACTTATGCTATATCTTGTCTAATCACTTATCCTTAGTTCTTCAGTCTACCTTTACCTCTCCCGATTGCCTTGTTTTGTATAATTTCATTTCTAATCACATCCATTTCATCATCGTCTTCTTTTCTACATTCCAACTCTTTGTCCTATACAACAATGTTGATTTAACCTCCACTCTGTACAAGTTACTCTGAAGTATTGGTGGTACATTCTTATCACACAATAATACCTTGTATGCAAGCCTCTATTACACCCAGATCACTCTAATATCATGTATGACATCATCATTACTATCTTTGTTTTCTTGTGTTATGGACCTAAGATACTTGAAGCTTGTTCTTATTGGTATGATTTGTGCATCAATCTTCACTTCCTCCTCCGTCTCATGGTGTTGTCATTGAATTTGCACTCCAAGTAATCTAAGGTCTGTTTATTGAATTCACACTCGTCTCCAAAAGTTCTAGTCTATCCATTGCACGTTTTATCAAACAATACCATGTTATCAACAAATTACACACACCACAACACCAATGCTATCAAAAGGAAGCAAAAAACACAAAAAAAGCTCTAAGGTCCATGGGCGCTTTAAGTGTGAGGTGCAAATAAACTATGAGCTTTAATGTAAAAAGCATAACCTCCATAAGCTAATTGAGAACAAAATATTTGTTCCTTCAACAGACTTTCTTTGATCTTTGCAAATATAATCCTCTTCAATGTTTTAATCAATAAGCTTATGGATGTAATTAACATAACAGTAGGTCTTCAATTCAGTTGGGGAATATATGAAGATCTGCATATTATGATCATAAACATGCCCTCAACAATGTATAATTGCAACAAAGTGAATTACCATAAAAAGCTGTCTCATTCCAAGCCATATACTATGATATAGGATGCAACTGGCGCTGGCTTTGCAGACACTTTGAAAATGCACACATAAAAAACAAACTATGATGCATCTTACTCTTTTGGGACCTTGAATTTTTTGGATTCATCAAATATTTTTAGAGGTGACATCATTTTTTGATCTATTAGCTGTAAAAAGTGCATAACATTTAAACTGTCTCTAGAATTTTTTATGGATTTTTCTTTACTCCAGAACCCTCCTACCATTCTGATATAATTGTTTTGACATATTTGGGGGATTTTAGTTTCCAGTGGGAAGAATTCACCGTCAGCTCAAGACCAGAACCTCTGCCCATGGCAGGGTTGGAGCAACAGCAGCTGTTTACTCTGCTGCAATTCTGGAGTACCTGACTGCAGAGGTTCTTGAGTTAGCTGGTAATGCAAGCAAGGATCTTAAAGTGAAGAGAATCACTCCCAGGCACTTGCAACTGGCCATTCGTGGAGATGAGGAACTTGACACCCTTATCAAAGGTACTATTGCTGGTGGTGGTGTCATCCCTCACATTCACAAGTCCCTCATAAACAAAACCACCAAGGAGTGAAATTCTCTTGTGTTATCTTAGATGTATCTTGACTAATGACATTGCCTGTGCTTATGTTTTTTCCGCTTTATCTGGGTTAGCTAATGACAGGGCACTGTTGGTTGTGTTTGATTAGAATAATTATCTGATGTAATGAACTTCTGAACATATTAGTTTGATGTTTTCATATTGTTGGTATGTGGCTTGTTGATGCATGTATGACACTGTTTATCTTGACACTCAGTTTCCAATATAGTGTCTGCCAAAAGTGTTTGAGGTCATCTGTATTGTTATCAAGGAATTAAGAATGTGATGTAGGATGATCTTTATCTGTATTGGTTTTTGAAAGCTTTAGTTTCTAATCTTTGTAGTTGTGCAAAGAAAGAATCAGCTTTCGTTTCTTTTCTATAATCATAACTTTGGTATAAAAATCCTACTTACAACTTTCAAATAGCTTCATCAATATCAAGTTCTGATGATGTGTGGACCAATTGATAGCATGTCTGAGTTCTTCTTTGATATTTTGGATTAGATCAAAGAAAATGGATGGAGGGTTTCTTGGATACAAGTAATATATGTTTAATAATTCGTGATGGCATTGACAGGTAAGGCTGCCACATGATCTGATCTTTCCTCGAATTATATTTGAACTAAAAGGAAAGTTTAGATCATGCTGGCAGCTTCAACTGCTAGTGCTGCACGATGTAAGTAGTGGTGGAGCTAGAAATTCTAACAAGAGAATTTATCTGTAAGTTTAATTGCCCTGCCTGAGTTGTATAAATAGGCCAGGGTTCAGAATTGGCGTGGATGGGAAGAACCAAGGAGATTTATTAATACAAGTTAAGTCTAAGTACTTTAAGATATTGAAAGTGGTCCATGCTGCTATTAGTGATGGAACCATTATTTTTTCATGAAAGAAGTAAACATATGAATAAGCTAAAGGGTTTCAACACTAAACAATAATTTTAATCTTATATATATATATATATATATATATATACAATGCCATATATTGGGTTGTGACAATAATATCCAGGTTTGATACGAAAAGTGACTCTTAGAAAGTCCCTTTTTCATTTCCTTAAAAGGAGATGGAAGGTGCATCTTTTTTAACAGGAAATCAGTATTTCCATTTTTGCACCTATTTATTCTCTGTCAATTGCTTAGATATTTATTAAGATACATCAATGGTTTCTCTGATATAGCTACTTCAATACACAAACATATGTAAATTATTGGAGTCTGATCTGTAAAGGAAAAAAGAAAGAGAAGAAGTTAAGGGGAATAAAGTGAAAAGTTATTAATTAGTGATTATGACGTTAATTAGTTTTGATTCCTTTGTTTGGTTTTCAGAAGATGGCAACCAATAGATTTATGAAGAATCACCCAATTTTTATTGAAGTTTCCCATACTATTAAAAAAGTAATTTATGTGTGTGATCTTCATCCAGAAGAACACAGAAAAATTGACTAATCATTCTATGATGAAAATAGAATAACTGCCAATTCTGTGTGCATAATGGGTATACACTATGCAACTATGCAAGTGTCTTGTCTTTGTCAACCTAAGTTGCTACTTTCTATAATTGTATCAACAACACTATATCCATTATTATAGTTTAGAGTCCGAAGAGAATAGAACGTCTATAAACCTTTGTGAAATACAAAGATTATTTTTGATAGACCGTCAACTGAAAAGCAAGTATGAGAGGAGGAATTTGCTAGCCCCATGCCTCCCCTATATAAGGCAAAACAATACTCCATTAGCTACTAGCATTCTATCTTAATCCTGGACCTCTACCTTTTTATCCAAAGGAATGGAGTGTCCGAAAAGTATAGTGATTAGTTAATTGTTGAATAGGTACTCAAATGAGCTTCAGAGTCCAAGCAATTTCATTTGCATGGGCGTACTCAATCACTATTTCATTGTTCTTTCTACTCTTGGGATAGGCAATCATTTCTCAAGCTAGTTGATTTGAAATAATGATTGTGTTCCTAAATCCGTATTTTTATGTTTGAATTGCGAGATTATCTAATTTCACTACTCTTAATTGAAATAGTACCTCGAATCAACAATTTTACATAAGAATTTAGATCCTTGACCAAATGTTTCAACCTTTTTTTCTGCAAAGTTCAAGAGGAATAAATAAGTTATAAAAAGGTAATTCAAGATTGAAGAAGAAAAAAAGAAAAAGTCATGACAACTACACATGGAAAAGTGAAGAAATATAACTGGAGTCAAAGATTACTTAGTCTTTTACACAGTGATTTGCTGTTTCTGAGTCTTGCTAACTTTTAGTTTCATAGTATATAATTGAAGAATATAGTGTGTGTCGAGGTATATATGTTACTTTTGAACTGTTGAATCTCAAAAGAGGAAGGAGAGCATGAACTAATTATGAGGATCAATAATATATGATTGATTCCTCTTCTCTTTTCATTTTTACACCGACGAGTTCAAAATAAGAAAGTCAGTGTATCTATAATCATGTAGATTAATTTTCCATTTGGGAATATATGTCCAATCACTATAAAATTACCTACTACTTACGCACAAGTTCAACAATCAGCTCCATTGTCGTCCAGCGGTTAGGATATCTGGCTTTCACCCAGGAGACCCGGGTTCGATTCCCGGCAATGGAACGTTTTGCTTGTAAATTTTTTTTTATATCTGTTGGTTGTGTTCCAGTGAAGGGGGGGACTCTTGTCTCAATGGAATCACAATAACAGATAAGTTATCGCCACTACCTTTTCTAAATGCATTGTGGACAATGCAATCTGCTAAAGAGGAGGACGAGTCGATCTTGTCCTTATTATCGTGCAAAATATCACAGACATCCTGGGGACTCATTCTTTCAAATATGCCATCGGATCCTATCACTACATACCAGTCTTCAATAGACAAACGTCTCCAACCCGTGACCTCTGGTTCAGCAAAAACTCCATATCTAAAAATACCAAAAGAATATAGATTAGAACAAATGCCCTCTGCTTGCTACCTTGTGTTTATAGAATTCAAAGACTCTTGAGCATGTCAATGAGTTGAAGAAGGACCTTTTCAAACGAATATCACCAATAGACCGTGAGACAGCCAATATGCCATTGACACGAGGCACGCCAACGACAAGGACAACCCCTCCAGCTGCTTCAATTCTAGCCTTTTCATCATCCCTATCAGGATGGTGATCCATTGTTAGTTCCTTAGCTTGAAGTGTTGTGACCAAATCACCTGAAATATTCAAGCAGAACAGAACAGAGAGAGTGAAAGGATCGTAAGAGAAATGGACACGTGATGACAAATAACAGGCCTTATAGTTGTAGCAACAACGTGATAATCAACAGAGTTTTAACAAACAATAGTCGGAAGCCTTTGAACCTTCATTTTCCTGATCAAAATGAGTTTTCCTCGAGCATACGAGTGCTTTTGAATCACCCAGGTTACCAACTAATATCTGCCCATTCATCCAAAGAACAACTATAGCAGTTGATCCAGAAATGTATTCATTCTTCAAAGCTTCCTGCATACAGAAATTGATTTGAAAATCGGAAGGGAAGGTTAGGAAATCAATAAACACAAGGAGAACTGTATGTGCCTGGGTAAACTCTGAATCTATGTCTTGGATTGTTCTCAAGAGGGCTTTCTCTAGAATTCCAAGTGTCGACTCATCATCAACTACATATAATGCCCCATTAGAACAGTAAACATCAAGATATCAATACTTTGAAATGCATACAAAGTGTATAAATGCTTTTCATTACTGTATGGTTATTAACAAGCACGTCAATGCAATAAATTATTCGAGGCTGAGAAATGAAGAAGTTGCAACATACAACCATAAAACACATATATGATGTGACTGTATAAGGTTAAAAATAATTCCTATACATCTAATACACTCACAAGGAAAAGTGGAAAACCATCGGAGGTGCTTAAAAGATTCCCAAAGTAGCAATAGAATGGAGCATCTCCATTTAGGAAGTTAAAACAAGTAAGAGGTGTTTTATATCATTTATATGACAACGGTCAGATCAGGGGATTGACAAGATATACTGATGAAGAAAATAACTAGAGATACTAATCAATCGAAAAATATTCTAAATTTCCATAGGACAAGTTACAGACCTTTGAATTTCAAGCTATTTTGACCTGGTTGTTCATGCTCTTTACTGTGTGAAAAGAGATTCTTGTATGTGTTGAAAACAACGTGCAATAGAAAGTAATCAAAGAATTTCTGAGAAGCCATCTCACTTGCTTCCTTGCCTCCATGTCCATCAAACACTGCCGCAATACCCACACTAGCTTCTTCCACACCATCTTCACCTAGTGATCATGCAGAAAAAGATGAGCATCACAACCAGGAACTTCACAACAACAACAAGTAATCCCACAAGTGGTGTCAGGAGAGGATAGTGTGTACGCAGACCTTACTCCTATCTCGGGGGGAAACTTCACTAAACTATATAATTCGTTTTGATGTCTTCAGTATCGTTTACAACTACACGACTGTCTACTACATTTGGACTTGGTCTGAAGAGTTTTCTACTCTAACATAGTTTGAGAAAGATATATTGCCAACAAGTCCAAGTTAAGTATAAGAAATACGAAAGGCGATTGCTGCAGCTCTTTCATAACAATAAGATAAGTGAATAAGGCAAGAGGTTAGAGTTTGAAACTACCTAAAACAGGAACAGTAACACGAGGATAACATGTAATACGATCTTCTTGGTATTTCCTACGCCCCTGATGTGTAGCTATGAGGCAATTATCTGTTCCATTTTTAATAGCAGTAGAAAAATCCCATCGATGACATTCAGGCGAGTTGAAAACTGCTGAAGCACCACCCTCATCATAGGCCATCATACAAGATACTGAGACCTCATATGCATAACTCAAGCAAAGAAATGTTACTAAGAGAAGTCCTACCTTTTCTCCTTCCGTTGAAAACTCTGTCATAAAAACCAAGCCTTAATGACACAATCTTTTGATCCAACTGTTCATTTTTGAGTCATTAGTCCAATGACGGAGCCAGGATTTCGAAAAAAAAAAACAAAAAAACTTATGCTAAGGAGATTCAACAACTTATACATAGTCAGTATATATAATCTAAATTCAACTTGTTATATGCAAAACAAAACGAAAAGAAAAAAGGGAAACACAGAACAGAACAGAACAGTTCTTCCATGGAAATAGTTTCTGAAGGAAAAAAGAATTTCGTGGTTACTATTTTCCTTCACACCAAAAATACTAATATTATTTTCGTTTTCTCCAGAAATATTGTCGATTAATTACTCACATACTCATAACAAAACCTAGATGAAAATACACAGATAAACAAACAAGATTTAACTCAATTTGTTAACAAGCAGTAATTGATGAAGTATAACGAAATTATCAAATCTGTGCATATATTACCATAAATGAAGGTGCTAATCTTGCATCGTATGTGCGATTATGGGATTGAGGAAATTCAGTTTCACGAGTGAGTTGCAAAAACTTACCTGGAGAGGGCCGGGTGGTAAACTACTTGGCCTAATATACACTTTTATGGAAATTATTGGAAATTTTAAACAAATTTCATGCGCTTAAAAGCTAATTATATTTTATTTCAAGTTTTTTTTCTTCAAATTACAAAAACTCCTTAGAATTCATTTCAAAATGTTTTGATACATCACGTTTTGATTTCAATTACGTCTCTTAACATTCCGTTACAACACATTTCAGTTTCGAATACATCATTCAATATCCTAATACATTGGGTAGATCTCGTTACATTGCGTCAAGTTATGTATCCAACTGATATATCACGTGAAAGGATGTAAACAAGAATATGAGATGGTGATAATTTTGTAATTTTTCAATGGTAGAAAATTTTAAAGAATATTGTAGAATAATTTAGGTATCTTTTCAAAATAAAAATACTCCCACTAATTTTATATAAATATTTACCTTTGTAAGCAATGGTTAAATTATACTTTACTATATTACCATTTGAATATATTCTATTTAAAGAAAAATTATCTTATATACACATATTTTACAATATTCTATAAAATTTCCTATGATTTCAAAAACTTACAAAATCACTACTCTTTCTATTCTCGGATACATCACTTTGCACAATGTGTTGGCTATATACATCACTTTACCCAAAATGCATTGGGACTTTGAGATTATTCAAAATCGAGACATTGAGCGATGTATTTGAAATCGGAACACGATGTATCAAGAATATTTTGGAATATATCCGAATCCCACCAAATTTAAAAGATTTTTGTAATTTGAAAGAGTGTAAGGATATAATGTAATTAGCTCTTAACACAATGAGATTTGTGTAAAATTTCCTAAATTTAATGCGTAGTGTTAGACAACTAAAATATTGGGTTCTTATATTTGCGTGCGCACAATCCACCACTCTCAAATTTCACTACGTGCGATTACACGGAATTTACATATAGTTATTGTAGTATTTATAATTATATACGGAACTGACATATAGTTATTGTAGTATTTATAATCATATGGATTGGTAGTATAAGTTTTCGTAGAATAAACTTGGTATAAGATTACCTAATTTTTCCTTCATTAAATGGGAGAGTTCAATTAGTAATTCTGTGACATAGAATGTTACATTTACCACCAGGAACAGGAAAACGATATTCAAAGGAACACAAAAAAGTGAAAATTAGATAATCATACATGTGCTATCATGATCTTGAACTTCAGATTTTACAGGAGAAAGGTAGGTATTATATAAAGGGAAAGAAACATAAGTAGAGGAGAAGACAATTCTTTCCCAATACTTCTTCGCATGTGCAGTATCCTGCAATGCAGTCCTAGTCAATAAATAGCTGAAATGACAAACTTGAAGAAGAAATTAAGCCTTCAATCACGTTATTTCGATCAAACAACGGAACAGGAAAGCTTATTTTAAACGTCAAGGATCATCAGAGAGCATGACCCATTCACATTCTATGTCATGCAGTTCCGCTGGTTTGTCTCCAGCTCCCAGCAACAAAATTGGACGTATAATTCCAAGTAAGCAAGATCATTGAGAATGGTTCCATCAACAGGGAAATGCTGCAGCCTAAAATCAATATTGAAGAGGGCGACTAGCTGTTATACGAAAAGCAAAAAAGGTTTCATGACTTGACCACTATTTCTCACTAATTCTATCTTCATTTACATTACAGACAAACCTAGATAGATAAGGCAGTTTCACAGATATTGTCCCAAGTGCTACCATCATCACACTTCATGCAACTATCCGTACACTACAACATGATGTGGCCTCCGAACATTTCAAGACATAAGCAGAAATCTGGTGCGCATCCCCAACCTCAGTTTCCGACATTCACTTTCTAACATCTGACAAAAAGCCATAACACATATCAAACACTAGACCAATTGAATGTTTCATATATGATACATCTCCAGAGACCAGTTTTCAGAACTAGGACATATTGCCTTAGCCTGGGGGAGATTGACATTGGTTAGTTATAAGAAAGAGAAAAAAGGATGAGAAACTTCAATCAGATGCTCAATAGATTTATATAGGGGAGGAGACATCAACCAAAAATTACTAGTATACTTAATGATCAATACTTGGTGATGCAATGGCATCTAGCGAAAAACAAAAAAAGATATGCTATAGGATAAGCAAACAAGGGGAAATAAACGCAATGGATTCACTGCTGTATTCACTATTTAATCACTTATAATACATCACTCAATTTATGAACCATGGCACCTTATGAATGTGTCCCAGGGAGGATGGTTGGTTCCAGTGACGCAGGAATCTGATGCTATCTTATAATACAATGCAAGAATCATTTAGGAGCTTAGAAAGAACAGACTCAAAGGTTAAAACACAAAGTTTGTGATTAATCTGGTTACTTATTGAAAACAATGATTATTTAATTTTTGAGAAGCAATGTTCACTAATTTCTTAGATGTTGAAAAGTTTTTAGTCAATAACAGTTCCCTACATCATGCACAGACTCATTAAAGAAGCATAAGGAAAAAAAAAGTTATCTGGAACATTTGAAAGTATTGTGACCGCTAAAATAAGGAGGTTGTAAACAACATCACCTCTGTCATTGAGACCACTAGAAAAGGTGGGATTCATCTGAATGTTGTCTTGTATAGGACCACTTCCTGTAGGTGTAATGTGGGGTGGGAAGCTAAGATCAGCCCCACTTGCATAGTCACTTGGTGAACAAGTCCCAATTCGATCGCTTAAATAGATATCCAAGTTAGCTGATGAAGTTGTTTCTACCTTTCTCTTCCACTTGAACCTTCACCTAACAGAGATGTGAGAGATAGAAAGAGACAGAAAGCAGTGCGGAGATCTTCTTATATTGTTTCACTTTTTCGCATCGAACAGCTCATTTATTGTAATACCTTTCTTTTCGCTTCTCAAGATATCTTTGTACTGATGCTTTCCTGCTTGCGGGGCTCTCCACTGCTCCTGTGGACATAAAATAGAAGCAGACGAAAATTAAGCAGAAATGAAATACAATGTTCATATTGTTTTCAGCATAATGAACATTGATACTTAACTGTAGTTACTTCCAAGAAGAAAATAAAACAGCACAAGATCAACGTTTTTCACTTATGTAAATCTTCTGCTTACAGAAAACACAAAAGTGTTGAGGTACACCTTTGGTGTATTTCCATGCTTATAATACATGTTAACCATTTCAAAAAAATAAATAAATGAAACAAAACATCCCTCCATCACTCAGATTACATTTGGGGGCTTCATGATGGTGTTTCTAGAGTAACCAAATATATTTCTTAAAAGATACGGTTAGCATGGAAAGGAAGTTTTTCACTTCTAGTATTTTCCCCCTATTTCTATGAGATTGTTTACTTCTAATTTGTGGATCTTAAAATGCTTCTTGAAGGAGTGAATCTTAACATGTCTTCCATATAATATTAGTCTCTACCAGAACAAAGTAGCCTAATATTCGCAATTTAGTAATATCCAAGGAGTAATTTGTGGGGAAAAGAGAAGAACAAAAACATAACTAAGAACATACCAGGATTATCATTGCATAAGCGGTTGCTTTCTTCTATAGGAACTCGAGAAACCTCACTCATTTTCACTGTAAGAGATTCAAACTAAAATGTTAAGGAATAGGGGATATAATAAACATCTTTCCGGATGCTCCCAGGAAAAAGACTCACCACCTCACAGAAGTCATAATTTAGACATTAAGGATCATAAAGTTTTTGTATCTTTTCATATTAACTTCTTATGGTTGATTTATTTTTGCAGTAACCTAATAGCTTGCTTCAAAAGATATCCAGAGAAACAAAGACTGCTTAATTACATTCTCAACTTGTTATTGTAATCAAGTAAAGTACAAGAACATAGAGGTAATGCAACTAATGACCTGTTTGAATAGTCAGTATTATACCAGTATCTAGGCGTAGTTTACTATTTGCAGCTTGTAAGCAGTATGCTGAATGTCGAGCTGCTGCAGTGGCATTCGATGGAGTTTCTGAAGGCATACAAAGAGGGCTTGAAGCAAGACACATGATTTTTTGTGCCTGAAAACATGCAAGTTGGCCATATCAGTAAAAAAGTGGAAGTATACTAATCTGGTGAAGTTCCCAAGTTTCAGCAAGCTTAAATACCTTGTCAGCAGGCACATCATCATAGACATTCACCTTGCCTCTATAGAAGATTGTCATTTGTCCTACTGGTTTATCTGCTGAACCTATAGTTCTGGAATCACCAATGAAAAAGCTATCAGTTTTTGAAGCTAGACAGGATGCAGTTTCCTTTGGGCAAAATGCTAGTCAAATGGAGGCCTGCGCCCCTATACTTGTGATGCCACTTTTTCAATAGAGTATCTTCTAACGAGCTATGAGTTACAAAGGCACGTGGAATAATAAAAGGTTAAGATGAATATATTTGGATTCGGATGATTTGTCAATAATAGAGAAAGGATCTTAACTAAGTTCTAATGATAAATTTGCAATCACAAAATAATATACAGAACGAAACTATTACTATAACAAGAGATCACCAGAGGATCGTATTAACAAAATTACAAGTAGGAGAGGGACTCTAACTTTGATAGGTAGAAGCTAGCCGCTATTTAAGAGAAGCATGAAAGTCGAGTATACAAGAGGAACAATTTCGAAAGTCAGGTGCCTTTTCTTTAATAACATCAAGTAAGTAGCCATCAATTATATCAGTCTTAAACTTGTTTAAGATTGACTATTAGAATTTTCCAGGTCCATTCCAAACTTCATTCCCTTACTAAATTTCGAGCTATATATATACATTTAGAAGATTCATTCATTGCAAAAAAGCATTGAAGATGACTATAACTCACCTAGAAGGAGCTGAATTGTCAACAACAGTGACCGGAAGGGCAGTGCTATGATTGGA